GACATCGCCGCTCTCGTCGGAACAGCCCCCTGCCGCCGCAGGGATGTGGATGCAAAAAAAGGGACAGCAGGACAGTACAAAACTCTGAGGCCTGCTCTTATATCGTAGGAGCACAGTGTTTTGGTTACGGATGGGTGCTGCTGAAGGGTAGACAGTAGTGGATAATGTCCCTTGAATAGTCATCGGGGTCTTCCATTCTTTGTCCACACGTGTCCATTCATCCAAGACCATCGTCAAGCGGGGCGGAAGGAGGCGCCGCACACCTTGTGTAGGGCGGCGGGAGTCGTGGCGGCGGCGGGAGTTATCAACATCGCTTGAGGATGCTGCTGCGCGACTGAAAACGACGAAGACATCGACGCGGGCGGTTGTGGTGATCCCTGCGACGCTTGGCTCGTCCCCGTACCGGAGCTGGAGCTGGAGCCAAAGCCCGGCAGGGACGGCTTGGGGGAGGCGTTCTGGAAACAGAGAATTCCACGCGCGAACGACAAGGGCGTATCAGCACCGCCAGTGTTCCACGATCGTACATGGAAAATTAAAGATGAGGCCGCGACAGAAACGGAACATGGTAAATAACGACAGGGCTGCCCTATTTCCCGAACCAGGATAAAAACCATCCTGCGGGCTGGGTTGCACCGAACGAATTTTTTGTGCCGCGATGCACAACGAATTAATTCAATAGGGAAATATGCTACCTGCGGAAACACCCTGGCGGGCAGTCAAATCTCACCGAAACGTTAACCCCGGCCTCCGAGTCAAAGTTGAGGAAGCCTTCCCCGGTGACCATGTTGATCACCGGCTGCGGCCCAGCGGCGCTTGATGCCGCTGCAAAACGGTCCTGAAGAGTTTTGTAGCCATAGGACATGGAGTGAGGGCGTTAGATCGCGGAAACACAGGAAGAGCGCACCGCACGAACGGCGTAGCAAAACCAGTTTCCGGGATATACGAAGGCACCAAACCTGACAAAATAGACGGAGGAAAGGGGCAGAGGAGGTTAAGGGGGTAGGGAACGAAGAGTCGAGAATTGTATCAAAACCTGTGCGGCGACGGTTGCCTCGACTCCCTCGCTGAGATCTCTGTTGATGGCCTTGCAGATGGGGTTGGAACACAAAAAGGAGTTTCCCTGGGAGTGGAGGCTGTCCACCGGAGGGAACGGGGTCGCATCCTGCACACAAGAAGGAATACGAGCACAGACAAACAATACACGATGAGCTGTGGGCCCCTGAACGTAACAATTGAAGTGGACTGCCTCCACATGTTTTCCCCACATATGCCATGGCACTTCACGCCCAGCTACAGATAGCATCTTTTCAGAATGCATTTCACTCCTCCACGAGAACCCCTCCCCCACTCCTACCCCAAAGCAAAGAACGGTTGTTATTTCCCGCCATAGTATTGGCATTCAAACAGTCCACCCTCAAGAAGTCTTCGAGCAAGACCGCCGAAACAGCTCAAGTTTAGAACGGGACCCCCGGGACAAGTGGCAATCCCGAACCTTCAGGATTCGTGATGTACCTGGAAATGGCCTCGACCCCACACCGCGAAGTGCCCCCCCCCTTGTTCGGGCTCCAGAAGGCTGTTGTAAATGTTTCGCGTGATTTCGTACTCGTTGAACCACCCATGCTCCAGGAAGATCACCTACAAATGAAATTGTTGCCGGCGCAGAACATTTGCCGGCACCCCCAACAAGGGGCAGGCCACAGGATGACCATGAAAGTGCGTGCTTCAGTCACTAACATGATCGCACTTGAATAGCTGTTTGGTTTCGGGCAAGACACTCATGACGGAAAGGACTGTGCGAGGGCTTCAACCATGACGTACATGACAAGACACACAACACTGTTGGACCGGCGACCACGCTGCTACGGACTATGGCAGTCGACAAACACCCCGCTGTATATACAGTTGGACGATTCCCATCACAGGCATAGTCCGATGGGAGGCTTCAAGAGCGGCCCATAGCGATTCGAGCTTCGTAAGCGCAAGCTAAGTGACATGGAAAACATGGGATGATCAACAAGATGAGCAATCTCACGGCCGCACCGACCATGGAACACAAGGTAGACAGGGAATTGTACAGACACGACACGCTCTGCCGGTGATGGCTTACCAGAATGCAGTGCGACAAATGCCAGCACATGACCTGCCGCAGGAGCCCCGGGTTTTCCGCCAGGATGCCCACCACCGGCTCCAGTACCTACGATACCAACAGTAAATGAGAGCGACAGCACAGTCGTGGACACGGCAATCAACAAGTTACGGAACAACGTTAGGGGGTTTGCGCGAAAAACACGAATGTCTGCTGTGGAGGTTTGGAACGAGGAGCTACAGTAGACGGCTCTACGCGAACACAGCATGGTGCGCAGGTTTTCGGACAAGGAAAGCTTGCGAAGAACCTGCTGCCGAGGCTATCTCGTGGTTCACTTGTCAGCGAAACAGCGCGTCCAACACGCGTCGCACACTACGAGAACACAACAAAAACAACCAGCCCTTGCGAAAACAAGCCCTCATGAAAACACTCCGCGCAGACCGAGTTGTAGCTTTCGTTCCCTATCGTTGCTGTACGAAAACGGTATTTCGATACGTACGTCATTTGCGGGGGTCGCCAAGACACATCGACAAAAACGGCAAACGCTCTTCTTAGGATGAAGACAAAAATTGCTGCGCCCGGTATTCCAAGCCAATCGTCGAGGACATCCACCAAGTAAGCCTACGTTTGATGCGGAGAGGAAAACAAGCGATCCAAGAGCTACAACAAACAAAACCAAACGTTCCCCAGACCGTTTCGCATCCATGACGTTGTGGACACGGACAATCCTACCCGCCACCCCCGTCAAAGCACGAAAAGTCTCACGCAAGAGGATTACGTGAAGTTACGGCTAACAATACACGTACAGGTGGCGGCCTTGAGGACGCTGGTGCTGAGGAAGACGAGCGACTCCAACACCCCTTGCATTTACCGCAGGCGAGAAATACACTACCAAAACGGTAACACCATCACCAGCACACACCTCCAGCCCGTCTTGGCTCCTACCCAAACGTAGCAAGATGTAGGCCAGCACCCCCTTCACGAGCACGACGCCGAGAGCTCCGAACGAGGACGAGTTGTCCTGGCTCATGCCGTCAGCACGTGTCAGGATCGGCAAGAGGGAGTTCAACTCCGCCATCACCTGTATGGCGGGACATAACCAAACAGTGATACCGCTGTCTCCTCGATCCAAACTTGGAACCCAAATACTTCAGAAAACCACAAGGTGACCTTTACGGTAACCGTACAAGTTGCCAACTGTGGAGGAGGGGAGGGGGCGGGGGGGGNTTTAACTCCGCCATCACCTGTATGGCGGGAGAGAACCAAACAGTGATACCGCTGTCTCGTAGATCCAAACTTGGAACCCAAACACTTCAGAAAACCATAGGGTGATCTTTACGGTAACCGTAAAAGTTGCCAACTGTGGGGGCGGGAAGTGGGCGGGGGAGTGGGGGCGTGTGTTCCGGCCCAGAAGCAAGACTACAGAGTAATGACGGTTCATATCGCCAGGGTCGGGACAGGGGGCTCAACTCCACCGTCACCACGTGAACGACATTGGACACGAACAGCAACAATCTAACCAAATCTGCCGGGGTGCCAAGTGACGGGCTCCTTATCGCCATGAAAAAAACGGGATTTTGCGCTCCGTCGGCAAGTACGTCGCAAACTGCAACCTATAGCTCCGTCCCCGCCTCTTTTATTGTCTCGCTCACGCCGAGAACCTTACCATGAGTTAGCCGTACGTCCAAGCAAAACATCGTTTGGTGAATAGAACAGCTACGGCAACAACAGCAGCAGCGGCAGCAGCGGCAGTAACTGCAAATGCCATGGTACTCGCCTGCGCCTTGGAAATGGTGTTGGTGAGTTTCTCCGCGGCAAGATGGGCCAGGTCGTACAAGGCGTATGTCAGCACGTTGAGCACCTGTTGGCTTGTGACCACGGAACGCTGCCCTCGGCTTTTGCGAGCGTTTCGTTGCTGTTCATGTTCGTTGGCTTCGATACGTGTGACACCGAAAAAATATCGGCGACACTGGCGGTTTTAAGGTACATCTGCGATGTCCGACATGTCCGATACTGAACAATATCACCGCGCCAACTTCTGCTAAAACAGCTGTTTTGGTGAACGATGACGACCTTGCGAGCTTTCCTTCCAAATGTAACAAGCGCATTGAGCAGCCGATTAGCGCAGTCTCTGCAAGTAAAATAAAAGCGCACACACAAATACACGCGCACTTTTAGGAAACAAAATCTTTAAGAACACAGCCGTGAAGCCNTACCGCCGGCAAAACAGAAAAAACAAAAACACACACACACACAAAGCCGGTTAGCGCCGTCGATGTCAGAAAGTGAAACACACGCACCATAAATCGGACACTTTCGAGAGAGCGCACCTGGTAGCAAGGAGCCGCCGCGCCCGCGTGCTGGAGGAGCTTGGGTGTAGCCGACAGGGTGCAGTTGTGCACCTCCGAGCACACGCGGTAGAACTGAAACACCAGCTCGTGGTCCACCGTCACCTGCGGAAGTTGCGTCGCCACCGCCTTCGCGAACTCCATGTAGTTGCTACCGACCAGCGCCGACAAAGGGAAGCAGGAGTCCCGGACGCAGCGTCAGAAACGAAGAGGGCACGTTTCTGACGGCCAACAACATAAGCGGGAAACTGGATTGAGGACCGACCCGGGCGGGGCAGTAAGGCTGATTCTTATACATGTGGATTCCTAATCCAAAAAACATAGAAATCCAGGATCGGCAAAAGTCCCGCTTATGCAGCCGGATTTGTCACTTTTTCGGGTCATCATAATCCAGCATCAGGAATCCGTGTTGCGTTCACACACAAAGTTGGGCAGAATCCAGATGGTGCCAAGCCCGGATTTCTATCCCAAAAAGTCACCGCTGGTAAACCCAGCCGACATAATCGGCGAGTGCGACCTGAGTTGTTGACGTATCGCTCCCATCAAGGGCTCCGAGCAACCCTTCGCTGAAGGGTTTGCCAATCTGCACGCTGTCTGTTGATGCTCGCTCGGCACGCATGCGTAAAAAACCATTCGCATCACACCAAACATGGAGACGCCGAAACAGGCCAAAACGCCACGGGACAGCAAAAAGAGTCGCTAATTGTCAAGAGATGAGAGGACATCGCAACTGATTTCTCGCTCCCTAGGCCACCGATCGAAGCCAGACCGGCCAGGATGAGCCCTCTGTTCCCTGCTCTCTGCCGGAGTAGATTTGTTCAGCAGCTCGTACTCTTAATCGACGGAGAGAAGCATGCGCGTGGTCTCCGTTGCTTTTTCGAACTGTATTTTTTTCTGGTCTGCTTCACTTGACAATAGACCGATGTGTTAAGGCCTGGAAACAATTTTCAACAGACAGCTTGTGTACACGCAGACGACAACTTCGAATGATTGGATCAACGAGCTGCTCAGTAAATCTACTCCGGCAGAGAGCAAGGAACATAGGGCACATCCTGGCCGGTCTGGCTTCGATCGGTGGCCTAGGGAGCGAGAAATCAGCTGCGGTGTCCTCCCGTCTCTGACAAACAGCGGCTCTTTTTGCTGTCTCGTGGCGGTTTGGCCTGTTTCGGCGTCTCCATGTTTGGTGTGGTGCGATATGTTTTTTTACGCATGCGTGCCGAGCGAGCATCAACAGCCAGCGTGCAGAACAGCAAACCCTTCAGCGAAGTGTTGTTCGGAGCCCTTGATGGGAGCGACACTTCAAAAACTCAGGTCGCACTTGCCGATTATGTCGGCTGGGTTTGATCCGCACCCACCCCCCAAGAATCTGCCCGACAAATCCGGTTCACTGCACGAACAGCCGGACTTTTTTCCAGCCGGAATTTTGCCGATCCTGGAGAGTGACGTTTTTTGGATTAGGAGTCCAGATGTTTAAGAAAATCAACCTAAAACCGGGAAGAAACTGGATGAAGGACAAATCAGGGCGGGGGGGAGTAATCGTGTGGTAGGATATGGTGTGATATGCTATATGCAAACGTGTAATCTCGTGTTGTACAAAGCATGTTTTAGTGTGATCATTCGTTTAACCCGCGTATCTCATGTGTGCTTTGATATAAGTTGGTAGGATTTAAAGAATACTTTACGAACTTTACACCTCTACAAAATGGGCTTTAGAATTCCTACACTCAACCCTATTCAATACTTGTGAAGACCATATCGATTTGGCACAAGCCAAACCAAATGCTGTATCGATAAAAGAAGGTGATACCAAAGCCTACAACAATGAAAGTAGCAATAGTTCATACAGATACCACATTAAGCCCTAGTATACAGCATGAGCCCCCATGCCAAACTGGGATAATGAAGGGAGAAACATCTGGGCGGGGGGATGGCAAGACGTCAGAACTCCCGCTGCACGTGCCCTCTTGGGTACCTATTGAGGTGCGGGGGTCAGGGGACGGGGGGGGTTGTCAAGAGAACGGACTTCCCGCGAGAAAGTTTTTTTCGAAAGTTGTGTCGAGAAGGAGGACAGCCCCCCTCCTAGATCTTGCCGCAAGGAGATCTAAGCTCCACTGCTGTATTTTTTTTTCATACACCAATGCCACCTGCCGCCGACATCGGCGCACACGCGGGGATCGGAAACTCGATCGCGTACCGTGTAGCCGCCGCGTTTCCCATGAGATCGTGGCAGTAGGCCGTCACCATGTAGGCGCTCATCGTCTCGGAGCTGACGAAGTCGAAGGAGTTGGTCAGTGCCTCCCGCACGTTACGCAGGTATACTGCCACCTGGGGGAGGGGAGGGTTGTGAGATACCGCCGCAGCTTCCCTGAGAACTTTGAGTGCTCCATGGTTATTTCGGACGCCTTTTGCTCCATCTGCTTCGCACATGGTGTAGGCAGAGAGCACTCCTCTGTCTTAAAAAACACAAACATGTGGCAAGAAGATGCCGACAACAGGAGCTTCCATTTGGGCACCCAGCCTCTTCGAGTGGACATGATTCACTTCGGTGTGCTCACAAACGTGGACGAAAACAGAGAAGGTGGTGCTAATTGAAGTTGTTACAAATATTTTGCCGTGGAGGGTGGTAGGTCGAACGAAGCCCACCTGTGTGTGCCCCTTGAGCAACGCGCCGATAGTGATGCAGCCTTGGATCACGGCCACCCGAGCGTTCTGAACGAAACAAACAGCGCCGACACATCATCAATGCGGTGATGTGCGGAGTTCAGGGTTATGTTTTTTTTTTTTCTCTCTCCCATCATTGGACTCTGTCGCCTGCCTCTCTGGCCTCTATCCTCCAAATCTACCAGCTAGACGACCCAACAGGGGTCACATAGGAGGGGGGGTTGGAACCCCCCTCCTGCGGTTCCTGTCTGAGATACTTTTATCGCGAGAAGGGTGCATCAATCCCTTCCCTCGCGACTTAACGAAGTCGATCGAGCTTACTAACAGCGCACTTGCGCGTCGCTTCCAACGGAGACCTGGATTTAATTAGCGAGAAATAACTCACTCTGTCGGGACTCGAACCCATGACCTGGCCCTTCGCAGGCTGCGAAGTTACCCACTAGACCACCGGTGTTGTGTAGTAAGCCGGAAATTTGGTCGAAAACACAAACGGTGCACGTAGCGCTCGCTGTGCGTTCAGAACAGTAGTGATCGTTGCTCACACCCCACACACTATGACCGTCGCTATAAGCAGCACAAGAACTGACACGAATCAACGGGAAACAAAACCAGCAAACTCCTGTTCTGGCTGCAAGCACGAAACACACATCTCTAGAATAGACACAACTCAACCAAACCTCCCAAAACGACGAAAAATCAACAAAGGCTGATATCCTCAACGCCGAGGGTAGTAATGCTTACCAATACATTTTGATCGCCTACACGCGGAGGGTACATATGCTCGCGCCAATGGCGCAAACGGAAGAACGCCTGACAAAAAGAGAAGCAAAAACATACACCCCACCAACAATAGACCACAACATAGCAGCACAAACCTACAGCTACAAATAGCGCCCACCACCTCTATCAGTAATTGTGACCGAGGCTGGTCCTACTTGCCCTTGTGAACAGTGGCTGCTATACAATTCGGATCGTAACATAGGGGTTCTCAACGGGACTCGCAAACTGTCTTGACCGGGCCCACAAGCGGTGCCCAAGTTGTTCATGTAAGCCTTGGCATGAGTAGCTGCTCTTAAGGTTGCACTTCATCAGGACCGGCACTACCTGTACTTGTGTTGACGATCACAACCCAAGTACCAGAAGCACGTGTCACCTGTCTTCTATAGACTACTCCTCGTCTCCGTGGAATGATCGCTCCGTCAGGGCCTCCGGCACCGGGTTAAGAGCGTCCCTCAAGATGCCTTGCGTCGTCAGCGGGACAAACTAGGAAGGAAGGAGATGGCGAACAAAACAAAAAAAGCGCCATCGTAACAACCAAATAGCAAGTGTTGCGCCGTCGCCAGTAGAACAAAGCATCCTCGCAAAAACTCGACAATTATGACACAACGCACAGGATTCGGCGAAGACGCGTGAGCTCCGGTGTCAACTTTTCACGACGTCGACGATTGTGATGGTGGTAGCCGTGGTGGTGATGATGATGATGACGTCGACAACTGCTGATGCCGTAGGAGGCACTGAGCGAGACGTGAACACTCAGATCCGATTGGTCAACAATGTGATAGGTTTGGACGCGCAGTTACCCTTCAGGACTAAGCTGTATACCTACGCTTCGAGAAGGGCGCGGTATTTCCACGCTGCCCTCCAACGTGCACACGTCTTGGCGCTGAGCTGCACATTTCCTGTTATCTCGACCACCATGCCTCCACCGCTACAGTCGCCAGCAGCCTGGACGATCAATAGTGATCCGGACACTCGCTTGTGGACAGGCTCAGGGGCAGGCGTGTCACAAGTTACCGGGGGACTTCAAACACGATACTCCAGCCCTATCTCCAATGTGCACTGTGTTGCTTGCTTCATGTTCGTGTACCCCCCGCCCCCCCCGCTGAAGTGCCCAAACACAATAGCCACCGCTGCGCCAACTCACCGCGTTGAACTCCTTAAGGAAGAAGTTGAGGTAGGTCACGTCCACCTTGCTCGTGATCCCTCCGCCCGACAACGCCGCTGCCATCTGTGGAAAACCCCGCAGCATCGGCGCAGAAGCATCGAAGAGACGGGGTCAGTTTTGTGATGTTGGAAACCGTTCAAGTTCGGGCGTACGTTCCGCGCGGCTACGGGTACAGGCGGTGAAATGTGCATGTCTTCCACACAGCATAGAAGAAATAATGCTATGCATACGATCAAGTGCGATGAATACGAAAAAACCACGAGTGTACCGTACAGGACGAGAGCCAGGCACGTGGTGAGGCCTCGCCGTCAACAACCAAGAGCGGCAACGAACACATTCCGCCGTTGAATGTTGAACAAAACAAATCGTGTTGGGAACGCAAACGCTTATTCGAACGAGACTCGGTCTCCGCAGAAAACATGGAGAGAAATGGCCTTGCCAGCACTTGCCCGCACATACGTGCACACGCTTGTATAGGACGCACCATGCCAATCCCCGGCGTGCACCCAGGCAAGAGGGGAAAGTTTTCCCTACCGCGAACTTGGGGGCAAGTGGCCACAAAAACAACAACGGCAGCCGGGCGCACAGTCGTCCTCAATTGAGCCAACACCTGGTGCCTTAAGTCGAGCGGCAAAAATAGTAACCATGGCAGTTGTAGAAAGTATCGCAGAAGCCGCACGCAGTCCCGTCTTCCATCCCTGCCGGTCGCCCCCGTGGTCTAGTTGGTGTCTCCAGACCTCCTGGAGGTCAGGTCAGGGGTTCGAATTCCGGCGAAAGCGAGCTTTTCTTGCAAAGTGAGTTTTTCTCTCGCTTCCGCTCCTGGCCCAGTGGATAGCGCTAGTTCGTGTGTACACCGAGGGAAGAGAGTGCTGAACTCTTCTCGCATAAAAAATCGAAGGCCAAGTACCGCAGGAGGGGAGGGTAGAAAGGGGGTCTTCTGTGTGACCACGGAGGAGTAAACGGCACCACTTGTGCTGTGAGCGCTGATTTGAAGTCAAGACAAAAAAAAAAAATCCCGCCTCGTAACATTGCGAGCAGGTGTTGATTGCGCTGTTTCAGGCACGATCACCACGCCTGGTCCCATGACCCTTACAACCGCAAGCGGTCTGTTCCACTGCAGCAAAGAGGACCCCCGTGCATTCGAATCGAATCTTTGGCCCCCATGACACCAAGCTTACAAACCCAGCCCTGAAAAAANTTCGAATCGAATCTTTGGCCCCCATGACACCAAGCTTACAAACCCAGCCCTGAAAAAAAAAAAAAACGCACAGTTGTACATTTGTGCACAATTCGTTTTGATGTCAGCAAAGCAATTCTGAAGACCGGAATAGCTCGTTTCTCAATGTACAGCAGTCGACGCCCCCCTTTCCCGCTACATGGGTGGCGCACCTGTCCCGAGGGGGGTGGCCCCGCACCCCCGACCGCCGCTGCCGCTGCC